ATGCAGGTGCTTTGATATCGTTTGAAGGTGATGTTTGGTTTAGTAACCCAATATGTTGACCAGGTCCACTCAATGCAGGTGTACTGCTTATGTGTGCACATGGTTCTGTTTCATCGGTTATGCCAAGGGATGGATCATGTTCAGCAAGCTGTTCGTTGTCTTCATCTAGCGATCCTTCTTCTTCTGTGGAATCTAATGGAAATGTTTTTAATGTCAAAAGGCCGGTTCACACAGAAAAACGCTGCAGAAAACCTACAAAGTCAAATGAACAGCCGCCGGCCTTCACAATTTCATTATGTACTTTAAAAATGAAGGATTATCAAGCACAATACTTACCAAAGCTGAAAAATTCCTCTTCAGAAGACGATTCTTTTTCACCCTCGCCTTCATTTCCCCCCTCATCATCACCTTCATCAGTATTTAAACTTGGAACTTCAGGTGGATCGTTCACTTTGATAATAAATCAAAAGTAGTTTTCAGGATATGAAATATACCCTGTACAACTGAATATGGCCGCCATTGAGCATGCCATGCAAAACTGTGTAATTTTGGAAAGTCTGTTTACTATCAGTAAAAACTAATGAAGATATTCGCTTCAAAATTACACAAATATTCACTTGTTCAGTCAACTGATGACTGACAAGCGTCGTTCTGGCGTTTTATTTTTCTCGCTTTCAAATAATCACAACATTTTGAAAATTGAATATTTTTTACGCAAGCTTCCTAAAATTATGGATATCATTCTAATCTATAAGTCTAATGTACTGCTTAATGAAAATATGGATACAAAATATTCTGATAATAAAATAACGGGCATATTCGAATTCCATCTATAGATAAAGGTAAAGGATGAATTTATATAGCGCCATTTCCAGGAGCTCAATGATGCTTTACAAGATCAGTGGAGGACTTTACAGGCTGCATATTAAGGAGGATGGAAAGTGTTTTGTGCCTTTACATTATGAACTAAAAAAATATTATGGCTATAATATGACAGCAAGTAAACCCTTAAAGCCAAAGACCATAAACCAAAAATCACAATGAACATGAAAAAATGATGTAAGACATTGCTATGACAACATCAGAACCCTTGGTATGCCATCAAAAAGGTTTATTAAAACATCGGTAACTCAGAAACCAAATGGTGAAATTTTTTAAAAACCGGAATATTTCAACTTTGTATCGTAATCTTCTTTTTGACGAAAATAGAAAAATTTCTGTAAAAGGGGATTCGTATAAATCGATAAAATTTGTTTGACAAAAGTCCGGCTGCACGCCGGCTAACATTATGTATGAGCTAGCAAGGTCTGGTTGATTAAACCTACCTTTTTCAAAGGCACAATGTCTCAAAAGCTCTTTGGCAGTTGGTCTGTCTTGGGGTATCAATCTGAACATCTGGCCAATAAGATCTGTTGCTGCTTCACTACATGGAGGAAAAATGGGTGGTACTTTTGTAGTTCCGACCTGGATTTTAAGAAAAAACTCAGTCATAATCAGGTTGAATACAATTAAATGGCTACCTATGGTATGTAATGTAATTAGTGTGACATTATTATAGGAATCTAAGTATATTTGTTATCACTTGTAAATTGAAACACTAAGAATCATGATCAATCTTGTAAACATACTACTGACAAAATTTATTTACCTTATAAATAACTGAAGAACATTCTGTCCATGGTGGCTGTCCTTCAAGCATCTGGTACATACAACAAGCAGCACTCCATATATCTGAACTAAAGCTGTGATTTTCACTGCGACAAACCTGAAAAACACATTGCAAGTCTTTTGTCGTACTTCAGAGACACAGTTCTATAGCAATATAGGCTTTTGAGAATCAAGGGTGGATAATGACACTCCCCTCCCACTTCTGGGGTCTTGCATTTTTTGATTCCTGGACTCAGCATCACATGTGAGAGAGTTTTTTTTAGGTCTCTCCCTTGACCAAAGGTTTCAGAACCGGGGGACCAGGGGGCACAGCCCCCCCCCCTCCCCTCACAAAATATTGGTTCACATAAAATATAAATGCATAGAAACGATTTTTATTTATGTTATTAAGTTATTGTTGTGATTTTTTGCAGTGCCCCCCAAAGGTTTTTTGCAGTGCCCCCCCCCCCCCTCCATCCCCCAAAGATTTTCAGCTTCTGCCACCCCTGTTGATTGAGAGTTTTCTACAAGTTCACTGGGTTTCCTTCGCTCTGTGTATATGTAATGCCCTGACTTTCATCAGCCCAGAGGTTGTGTAAGGGTATCGATAAAGGCTTAAGAGTAATATCAACACATAATTACCTCAGGGGCCATAAAATTCTCAGTTCCTGGAGGTATATTTTCTTGTCTGTACAATTCTTGGTGGCGTAACTGCACTGCCTCACCATAGTCAGCTAGCTTTACTTTTGTCAGAGCGTAATTGACCAAGATGTTAGCACCTTTCAAGGAAAACAAAGAATGTGGAAGATTCCTGTTACTACTCCACTGTCACCCAACTTGCAGCCTAACAACACACCCCACTGGCATGGTAACAATACCTACTGATCAAACAACACCCTATTTGCAATCTACCAATGCCCTAATTGCAGCCTACCAATGCCCTGCTGAGCACCCAACTTATGAATGCCCTAATGACCACCCACCAAAACCCCAGCGACCACCCAACAACACCCCACTGACCACCCACCAAAACCCCAGTGACCACCCAACAACAACCCACTGACCACCCACCAAAACCCCAGTGACCACCCAACAACAACCCACTGNCCACCCACCAAAACCCCAGTGACCACCCAACAACAACCCACTGACCACCCACCAAAACCCCAGTGACCACCCAACAACAACCCACTGACCACCCAACAACACCACACTTGCAACTGATCAACACCCTACTGACCACCCACCAAAACCCCACTCACAACTTACCAAAATCCTAATTACAACCTATCAACACCGTACTGACGGATTACCAACACCCCACTGACCACCCAACAACACCCTATTTGCAGCCTACCAATATGCCTTAAGTGCAGCCTACTAATCCTCTACTGAGCACCTACCAACACCATACTTGCATCACCCTAATGACCACCCATCAAAACCCCACTCACAACTTACCAAAACCCAACTGACAACTCACTGATCACCCACTAATCACTCGGTGACCTACTAACAGCCTTCCGACATCCCAAATGACTACCCACTAACACCATCCAAAAGCACCCAACAACACCCCAAGTGCAGCCTACCAGCACCCCACTGGTAACCTATCAACACCCAACAACACCCTACTGACCACCAACCAACTCCATACTGGCAACCTAACAGCACACTACTGACCACACACCAACACTTTATTGACCACCTACCAACACCCTACTGATGACCCACCAACACCCTACTGACAACCTACCAACACCATACTGGTAAACCACCAACACCCTACTGACCACCTACCAACACCCTACTGACAACCCACCAACACCCTACTGACAACCCACCAACACCCTACTGACCACCCACCAACACCCTACTGACCACCCACCAACACCATACTGGCAAACTAACAGCACACTGCTGAAAAATAATCTTCCAACACCCTCTTAGGGCATCTACTGGCAACCTTCAGCATTAATAATGTTTTTGAATACCATCCAGGTTTTTCAATACATGTACCTTTAACATCACGGTGTATAATTCTCCTGCGGTGCAAAAAATCCAAGCCCTCTAGTACTTCTCTGAGGATGTAGAGTGCTGAGTATTCATTAAACTTGTTTTCATTGAGAAAGCTCAGCATTCTCTCCACAGAACCTCCTGTTTGATAAGAAAGCACTTTAATGCAACATTATAAGCCTGTTAACCGGCGTGTATATATTTTTAAGCACCCAAATATGAGATGAGTAAAATGACAGAAAGTATTTAAGAATATTCATAAAAGAAGTGTTATAAATCTCGCATTGTAAATGGTTGGCTACATGTGCTGTGAGAACACAAAGCATGCCCTTCTTTATTCTGTTTTTCACTAATAAACCACTCTTACTAACTTGTAAGTCATAGGAGATACAAATTGCCTGTGCTGTGTGCAGTTACGAAACACTTGGGGATTGGCCGAACATTTGAAAAGTGTTGAGATCAAGCGCTCAACTAAGTGTTGTGCTTTTACTAATACATCTTATTTTATACCAATCCCCGTGCACTTTATGACTGCAATGTTGAAGCTTGTCCACCATTTTTGGTGGTAAACCAGAGTTTTTTCTTAGCAACCTTAAAGATCCTTTCAATTAATCAAACTTACCTTCCATGTATTCCATGAACATAATGACTCTGTTATCTACACATACTGCTCCAAATAAATCTAAACATCTTAAACTGTGGCCGGACACACTTGCCCAAATGTCAAGTTCAGTACGATCAAACTTGTCTTTTTGGATCTGAAAAAAAAGTATCATATTGTCCTTTGGATCTTCTAAACAAGATAAAATGTGTGCGCATGTCTTTGTACTGTGATATAACCACACAGGGGAAGGAATGCAAGGTGTAGTTAAGTGTTTCTCTCGCTTTTTGAGTGCTCTAGAGCTCCCAGAGTGTTACATTATATTTCAGAGACATAGCAGCCACTTTATATAGCTTTGATAAAATATTTGTGAATAAGTTTGTGCAAGTGTGTCTCTGTCTTCTGATCAGGAAGGTGTGAAGAAGAACATGTCAAAATATGTCTGACTTCTACAGCTGAAAATCATATGATTTCTACTTTGGAGGGAAAAATTATTGCTTGTCACTTGTACATCAATACTATAAGTATCAAGATTTTTTTAATTATTAAGCAATCGAGCAATCAGGGAAACACTTTGACGCAAATTGGGTTGGTCATCTCCATCGGCCATTACACCTCCCTGATATGAATATTTAAAATACATCAATGAGAAATTAAAGTTTCATGTACTTGTGTCGATCACTTACAATTTTGGCTGCAAAAAGATTACTGCTGGACAAATCTATGCAGAGACGAACTACTCCAAAAGCTCCCCTTCCAAGAAAATTTTCTTCCTGGACAATTCTCCATTCATGGTTTTCGTCATATTGACCATTTTTTACATTTAGTTTGTCCTAAAGGCAAATATGTTCATATCTCTTTATTTTTACATTCTTGGCATAAACAAATCATGGTAAAATTAATTGTGCTACAAGATATGTAAAAGAGATTTTCTCTGGGTTCTTCACTCAACCTTCCGACCCTCCCCCTCCACCCACCCCCTGGCAAACTTTCAAAATATAAATCAGCATCGGTCTTTAACACTTTTTTGTCCCACTTTTTGTATTGGTGATATTCTACAAGGGCTTAAAATGACAGCAGATCAGAATTTGCTGGTCATAACGGTCAAATTATTTTTAGCTTAGTCATACTTCATTTCTGGCTAAAGGTCACTGTCAAAATTATGACTGACAAGGTAAACATTTGACCGTATGAGTCCCAGTTCTGGCCAATCGTTGTCTGATGTCCAGCCATCATTTTAAACCCTGCTAAGGTACACATTTATTGTGCATTAATGTCTTTAATATACATTAAAAATATGTATTACATACCTCATCTAAAGGATGCAGTGAACAGACATTGTCAGGTCTGAGCGGGGATTTTTCATTTTTCTCAATATTCACACCTGTCACTGCTTCTTGCTCACAAATTTCAGCTGTCTCATTTTCTATACGAATAGAAACTCCTCTGGAATGTATACCAGCTGAAGGCCACTGGGAGGTTTCTGTCTCATTTTCCTCTTCATTTGCTGCAATACTAAACGATGTTGAACTAACAGGAGCTTTGCCTTGCGCCCTATATATGACACTTTGTTCCTTATCTTTATCTGGAGGTCTTCTTGGACGATACTCGTAAGTACTCTGACATGTTCCAGGTTGCCTTGTTCTGAAGTAACTTCCTGGCAATGAATACTGGTTCTGGTCAGTACTGTTAATACTGCTTGAAGGGGTCTGCAAGGAGAGGAGGAGTTCCTCAATTTCTTCTGTTGTCACTGGCTCTTGAGTCTCATTGCCCTGAGGGATATCACAAGACTTGCTATCTATAACCCTTTCTCCAAAAAAGATGCAGTCTGCTTTGTAACTCCACCTTTCAGGACATTGCCCATTGTTCTCTCTTAGATACTCTTTTATTGACCAGCATTGAGTAACCACACACTTGTCACTGTTACAATGACTTGTGTGGTGCAAATATATATCTCTTATATCTTTGCATTTCTTGCAGCCACCGAATACTCTGAGTCGGCATTTTCTGCTATGGTCCAAAAGGCGATGAGAACTGTAGCATACACATTTCTTGCATTTGTCAATTAAACCAGATGTTTCTCCATGACACCTGAATGCTGCAACAAGGTTGTATGATCCTTTTTCAATTTTCTTAGCTAGCACTCCCTGGTCCTTAGCTTCTGCCTTTCCATTCTTCACTGGTGCCTCCTGACTCTTGGCTGACACCTCTTTATCTTTGGCTGCTGCCTCCTGATCCTTGGGTGATGCCTCCTGATTCTTGGCTGTCACCTCTTGATCCTTGGCTAGTGTCTCCTGATCCTTGACTGGTGCCTCCAGATCCTTGCCTGGTGCCTCCAGATCCTTGGCTGACACCTCTTGATTCTTGGCTGGTTCCTCCAGATCTTTAGTTGGTGTCTCATGATTTTTGGCTGGTGCCTGTTGATCCTTGCCTGGTGCCTCCAGATCCTTGGCTGACACCTCTTGATCCTTGACTGGTGCCTCCAAATCCTTGGCTGACACCTCTTGATCCTTGACTGGTGCCTCCTGATTCTTGGCTGACACCTCTTGATCCCTGACTGGTGCCTCCACATCCATGGCTGACACC